TTGACCTATACAGATTATTTGGTCAATTTATTTATACTTTTCAACAGATATTACCTAAAAAAAATAGATCAGGAATATGGACGTGCAATTAAACAAAATAGAAAAAAAGCTTGTGTACATTTGTATAAAAACATGAAAGAAGTCATTCGTAAACATCATCAATGTATACGGTAAGTTATTTTTACTAATGGGTCAAAATAATTCTTTTTTACAAAACCGTGCACACGTACGGGACCGATCTGGACGCGATTTTGGTATGTTAAAGTAAATGGTAAAAAAGTGCCAAAACCAAGGTTTTAGACCCTTCCCCGCTCCTTCCCCCCATCACCCGTATAAAAGTTAATTTTTTATTTATATTTATTCTGAAACCCTGAAGCAATTTAAAAATCTGAAAAAATTCTAGAAGGTACATTTTAACTGTAATATACCAAAAGCGCATCCAGATCAGGAACATACGTGCGCCCGGTTTTGTAAAAAGTATTATTTTGACCCTAATACAGTGAAATCTCTCTATAGTGGACACTCTAAAAACCTCGAATAGTGTCCGCTAATCAAAGTGTCCACTATAGAGAAATTTCACTGCATATTTTATTTTTTCTGTATTAAAGCATCTTTTTACATTGTAGTTTGTTTGAAACATTAAATGGCATCGTTAATCCTATCATGCTTGTGGCAGTAGTCACCAGCTTTTTAAACCTCGTTATAAGTGCAGCTTGGGTAAACTAGCTTTAAGATTTGAAATTTTCTTCTTTTGTAAATAAAATCTCGATAGAACATTTTTTGATCGGTCATGTGATTAATCGTCCCGCCTTTCTTACTTCGGCGAAAATTAAAACGAAATTAATTGCACCCTAAAACTTCTTCACAATATTTATTTCTATAGTATAAAATCAGTTCAAATTATTTTCAAGTAAATCACCTGAAAATCAAAATTTTATTCTTTCAAAAAATGAGACCAGGTTTGATCACTTTAAACACGATATTATAACTTTAAGCCTTGAACACTAAATGGTGAGTACCTTAATATTTGTACATCTGCAAATGGCAAATTGAAAGTAATTATGCAAAGTCAAAGCAGGGGATGCAAAAATATATGATTAGGTTTGTTATTTTTACTCATCATAGTCTGTAAAGTATTGCACGCAAAACATATGCAGGTTTTTTAAAAAGCGCACACGTGAAAGAAATTTCACAAGGCACAAGTTGGACACTCTAGGTTAATTATTACTATAGCTTAGAAGTATTCATTTTAAGTTTTTGGAAATTAATAGCATTTAAATAATAACGGATATGCGTTAAAGCCGATTTAAAACGAGAAAAAATTTTTCTAACGATCTAATTGCATCATACGAAAGGAGAGAAAATTTGCAAATTATGTCTATAGAAAGCCACAGCTAATAAACAAGTGATTTTTCTATAGGCACATAATCTACTATTTTTCACTTAACTAGTTTCAATTTCCAATTCTATCTGAAAATCATACTAAAATTATTGTTTAAAATTTTCTAATTAGGCTATGATTTTGATGGAAACAAATAAAGCAGAAGCCTTGAAAATGTTTTGTGGATTCTGTTGCGCAGCTTTAACTCTAATTATTTCATGCATTCCTGGTCAATTATTAAGTAACGCAAGTGAAGATTTTCTCGTTCAAAAGTTATAGGATTATTTATTCTATTCATCAATTAATATAGTTAAATAAATAATTGTTTTCGCATTTAATAGTTATTTCATCGGTTGGCAAAACTACCCACCTTATATTAGATCAATGATTGTACTGTTTATGGCAAAAGAAATGAGACTTTTTGTACTAACGGGTGGCCCGACAATCGCATTAAATTTCGAAACGTGCAGCCAAGTAAGTTAGTGTACTACTCTAATTTTTACGAATTCACAAATAATATAAGTCCAAAAACTTTGTATGTTATAGATACTAAAAATGGCAATATCATTTGCTTTATCATTCAGGTCTATTTATGTTTTTAATTAGTCCTTATGATTAAATAAGTAATTTTTCCCCAAATTAAGGCGGTACAGTTATTCTAGTTTTATCAAATATGAACTATAAAAAAAATTTATTTCAAAAACTTTATGTATATCTTTTCATCAATTAAACCTAATTCAGTTCATACTAATATATTATGTTACATAATATAATAAATTGGAAATATAATAAAATATGATAAAAATATAATAAATATATATATATAATAAAAGTGCTCTGAGGCTTTCCACTTTTTCGCTTCCTAGGCACGTAATATACTATTTCATGCTACCCTAACCGAAACTAACCTTTTTCATCCCTGCAGCCAAAACAAATAAGTTAATTTCTACTGAGGGATTCCAGGTCTGCGTTTGTCACACAGGATCGCCACATCGATCTTTGTTTCTTTCACTGACTGTATTATGTAGCGCCATACTTCGTATGACGTTACAATCGCGTATTCAACCTCGCGAATTCATACAATTTAAGCAGAAGAAAGAAAAACGCAACGCACACACACAATCGGCCTCCTTGGCTCAGTGGGTATATATATAGTTCTTGCCTGCTGATACAAGGTACGCCGTAGGGCGTGGGTTCGATCCCCACCGGACGAATTTTCGAGGTTCGTTTTTTCGCGTGGTGTGGTCGAGCCTGTGCCTGAGGTGGAGCGCGTACCACTCAAAAAGAGGACCCGGGCCATGTCATCAGCCTCCGAAGCGGTAAAAAACCTCGATCACTGTGCGAGCTGGAAGCGATAGGACAACCACAAGTAGGAGCCCGAGTCGAGGACTCACAATGCTGGCAATAGATGGAGCACACCACTCCCATGATGAAGTCGGAAGCGAGAACTACACTCACAAGAGGGCGCCGGATGCGAGAGCCAAGGCTCTGGTGGAGCGCATGATGGCGCCTGAAGCGAGAACCACACTCACAAGACGACGACAGAAAAGGAGGAGTTCAAAAACTCACGGAGACTCACAGCGTAGCGCCGGAAGCAAGAACCGCACTCACAAGATGTAGCCGACAGAGCAAAGCGGTGGACTTGCCATCGGCTGCAGAAGCGAGAACCACACTCACAAGATGGCACTAGACAGCGAGTTCTAAAGAAGATGTCCAACTCAGGAGGAGATGCCAGCAATGTGTGACCACGCAGACGGTTCTGAAAAAAGGGGATACGACAATCGACGATGGCAGCGTGCAGGATCGGAGGTTCACCAAGTAGAAAAAGATGAGTCCCTGAACCCCTAATCGTCGCATATCACTATGCGACGGATGGGGGATGTATGAAAAACAACGACTAACAGAAGTAGCAGAAATGCTCAACTAACCCCGGCCTCACCGACGCAATGCCTAACGGCGGATACCGGTGAGTGTCCGAATGGGGTGGAGTAGAAAAAAAAAAAAAAAAAAAAAACACACACACACACACACACACGACAGCCTCCGTTGGTCTAGTGGGTAGAGGCGTTGGGCCATCTATCTGCTAAACCAACGCTGTGCTGAGGGAGCGGGTTCGATCCCCACTGAAGGAAATTTCATTCGTGATTTTTCGCTCGGTGAGGTCGAGCCCGAGCCCGAAGTGGTTCGGATTCCACTATAAACTGTAGGTCCACGGCTGTAGGCAGCCTCCTGGAGGGTGGTGAAATATCCTCCAATCACCCTGCGGCCCAAGTTGAGAAAAATTCCCGCAAGATGGAGCCCGAAAGCCAGAACTCCTAGTTCTGATGTTGGACAACGGAGTGCATCATTCAGGAGGAAAAGCGTCAACACAAGGAAGAGCACTGACCCCTCGGCTCCAAGTTTGAATCCTTAGGGATGGAGCCCGATATCAGAACTTCTAGTGCTGGCGCTGACCGACGGAGTTTCCACTCATCATGGAGGAAAGCCAGAAAAAGCGAGAGGTGCTCGCAAGAAGCGGAGATGCTGGATGGTGTCGGGCGTGAGACCGGGACCACCCTCACAAGGACGGAACTAGTCCAGCTCACGGTGAAGTTCTGACGAACGTACCGAAGAAGGAACATCAGCACAAGGGAGAACACCGACAAAGACGGCTCCGGAAGGCGGGAATGACGCTGGATGAGGGCTCCGCGGGGCGAGCGGGGAATCACCAACGAGTTGACACGGTTCCTGAACCCCTGATCACTGCGCCTTGGCGTGCGGTGGATGGGGGATGTAGGGAAATGATCAAATACGTCGATGCAGCAGCACTGCTAAAAGGCACCCACTGAAGTAATATCTAACGATGGTTCCGGTGGGAATCATGCCAGAGTTCGGAAGGGCCAATGGTGCAAGGGTTTACCCTGCCCACGCCCTCCCCATAAAAAAAAAAAAGATCAAGAAATTTTCCATCGATATAGACATTTTTCAGAGAGGCGATTTTTGATTTTAACGAGATATAGCGAGAAAAGGAAGAAAAAACGTGGTTTTTTCGCTCGCGCAGGCGGTCGGACGCCACCAGCCGAACAAAAAACCACGTTTTTTTTTCTTTCTCTCGCTATATCTCGTTAAAATAAAAAATTGCCTCTCTGAAAAATGTCTATATCGATGGAAAATTTCTTGATCTTTTGATCTACACTATTTAAAAAAAATCCTTAAAAATGAAGTTTTCGTGAAATGCCACATATTAGAGCTCCGCGGTCCAGGCAACCACTGCACATCGATCTCATAGCTACGGCCCTGGGCTCGTGATAAAACAGAAATATACTTGTGGTTCAGCTAATATTCTGCTTGGCTCCGCCACATTCAACTTCGGGTTTTCTCTGGGGTATACAGCCCTCTTAAGACGCGAATCATTGTGTACTACGCAGTACATGAGTACCGTGATGAGTGGACAACTCTGACTCATGAGGTCGTTATGAGTCGCTCGAGGGACGGTGAAGTAAAAACAACAAACAAGAAAATTGAGGAGAATCAAGTTTATTGATCAAAAAGCTCGCGAGTACTTGAGCACCGCACCGTCCAAGAGTTACCAGGAGAATACGAATTTAATATTAAATTAATGAAAAAAATATTTACTTACCTCTCCCACAGGACTTCTACTACTAGGTAGGTCGTTGAGAGGAAATAAACGATGATCCAGGGTACACAGACCCCCATAACCAGGTTAATGATAGTCATTTTTTCATTCTGCACAATTTTCTCACCGTTAATGAATTAATCTTCGAGCCTCTTCGAACTACTCATGCCGTGCCCTGCCGGGAATTCATCATTATTCGCTTTGGTGCATTAGTGCAAGGTCGAGTATGTTGTCACTTATTAAACTATAGGAGTTTCAAGTGAAAGTTCGCCACCGCGCTTTGACATTTGCACAATCGGGATGTCTTCGAAAGGGATTAATATTCGCAAACTTCTGCGAAGGTATAGCGTACGCATTATTTTAGCTTGGCCAACTCGGCAAGTAAAATAATGCAGCCATATGCATGAAAATAAGTCTAAAAGGGGCATATGGTACGCAGTTGCATCAGGGATAATTTCGGTCAATGATGTGACTAAGAGAGCTCGAAGATTGAATATCTAAATATGATATATTCGAATTAATTTCAATGAAAAAGAAAAGAATACATCGAGCGACAGAAATCTCCATGGCAACGAGAGACGATAGCGGTGCTGGTGACGAGGCCGAGGCAGACTACTTCGATTTGAGCGACACGAAAGGCTTGATTTGAAAAATAAAAAAAGTTCTCACCACGAAGTTTTGAGTTATTGGTTTCATTTCCTACACTTCCTGTACGACATTTGGACGTTCGAAGCGGAAAAACGAGAACAAACAGGTGATGCGTTGTTCAGTTGAAGAACGAACGACGACTGATACTGCCGCGGTTCATTTGTTAGTCGGTCGCTTAGCAGCCGTCGTGCCGTGCTGCGATTGACGAATGTTGCGGGTGCCCTGTCCGGCCTGATGCCCAACATCGGGGGCCCGAGATGCAGCCAGCGCAAGCTTTATATCAGCGTTATTGACTCGGTCCTCCTGTACGGGGCCCCAACATGGAGAGAAGCTGCAGAGGCACACAGCTATGTCCGCAAGGCAGCATCAATCCATCGGCGCGCCTGTCTGCGTGTGATATGCGGCTTCCGCGGTATTTCCCACGATTATGTGCATGTTTTTGCAGGCATTCCACTACTAGAACTCCTCGTTATCGAACGCTCGAGCCTCTATGAGCATAGCCGCGAAGAGGCTAGGAGTGTCGATACTAGTGAGGAGCGCACCAAGACGCTGGAGAAGTGTCAGACTCAATGGTCTTGCACTACGAAGGATCGGTGGACTTACCGGCTTATACCGAGCATCGCTGTGTGGATCGGAAGGAGGCACGGAGAAGTGAACTACCACCTTACGCAACACCTGTCCGGCCACAGATGTTTTAGGTCTTACCTGTGTCGTACAAAAAACGACACAAGCAGCTCGTGTCAGAACGGCCATAACTGGAGCCCGAAACGTTTGTTAGATTCATGCTCGAAAACGAGCGAAAGTGGGAAGCAGCGTCCTCCTTCGCTAGCACAGTCATGACTAGACTGAAAAGAGAAGAATATGACCGGAAGATGCGGTACAAAGAAGACGCAATCCAGAAAACAAGCTTTTTTTTTTCTTTATTATATTAAAGTGCTTTTACCTGGGAAGGCATCTGCACTTACTTTATTTAACAATTATAACTGGAAAATTACAAAATTAAAAGGTAGAACAAATATTTTACAAATTATAACCTTAATTTTACAAATGTTTTTGCTCTTATCAGACTCGCAGTCCACATACGCCGAAAAACTCGCAGAATATCAGGCACGCCTCTATATTGGGGCGAGCAATGATACATTCCACGTTCAGTGGAGGGTGTACCTTGATGTTTTTCAATTTCCCGAGCATTTCCTTTCTCTGTTTATCATAGAGCCGGCAGTTCCAAAGAACGTGATTCACGTTTTCATCTTCGCGACCACACCTGCAGCGTGAGTCTGAGATGATGTTCTTTTTCTCAAGTGACTCAGCTAGGCTGGTGTGGTTGGCTCGCATTCTGTTTATAGTGACGATGTGCTGTCGGGATAGCTTGATTCCGGAGAACCATGGGGTCGAGCGAGTGCTGTGGAAATACGCGAAGTATTGTCTTCCTTTACGTTGTCCATCCGCCTCGTTCTTTCTGTTGCTGTTATTTTTGGCCGTGCGTGCGAAGCTTTCCGATAAATCCGAAAAAGGGACCAGAGCCGGCTGTAGGGGCTGTTCCCGAGTAGCCTCCTTGGCCACGGCGTCCACCACCTCATTGCCCACGATGCCCATGTGTGCCGGAATCCACAGCAGCTTCACCTCCCTGCTCGGGTTCTCGGCTGCATACCTTGCCAAGCGCTCTCTGATATTGAGGATTAGCGTTGCTGTTTTGGCGCCTAATTTCGGTGTTTGTATGCTGAGCAATGCGCTGAGAGAGTCGGAGACGATTATCGATTTGGAGTCGTCCCGCCCCTCAATGTAGTCGAGAGCTTCGATAGTTGCGTGACACTCAGCCGTGAAAATAGAGCAATGCGGGTTCAAGCTTCCGGACGCTCTATGCCCAGTTACCGGGCAGAAAATTCCGTAACCAACGCTTGTCGCGTCCTTGACCTTACTGCCATCAGTGAAAATGGGCACCGCACTCTCCGATCTCAAGTGCTCGCTCAGCGCTCAATCTGGGTCCGGCGATCTCCCGATGTCGAAGCCCAGAGTCGTGTTAACAGGAGCTCGGAAGGTCAAGGCACCGTATCTATGGTTGTATGGGTTGAAGCGTTTGCCCTCGTGAATACGAGCCCCTACGTTGCAGACCGCTGCAATGCAGTTAAAAAAGCTTCTCCTCGGAAGGCGGCTTCCTTCGTGTCTTGTGTAGAAATCTACAATTTTCTCGGTTATTTCGAAATTGCAATTGCTGAGGGCTTTGGCGATGTATGCCTTGCCCAGCATCTCAATTCGCTCCTCAAAGCAGGAGATTTTTGCCTCAGCAAGCAGTATATTTGTGGGCGTGCTCGTTCGGTAGCCTAGGGCGCACCTGATGGTGGCAAATTGGATTCTCTCGAGCTTTAATTTTCCTTGTTTGTCCTTTGGTAGGTAGATGAAGCCTAAATAGGTAGAAGACAAGCTAAAACCTTAGATGACCTGTAACCTCTTATCTTACCCCGACGCACCTCGTCGGTTACGTGTGTCCTTTGGGCTTGTGGGTCCGTTCTGCACGTCCGGGGTCTACCTGTAAGATTCATGTAATACGGGGAAGGAAGCTCTTTACACTCACACATTCGTCAGGAATCAAACACTCCATATTAACAATAACAACTACCAGGTTTATTCGTATTTAATAAACATTATACACGGCCTCAGAGAGTACCCGAATACCCGGTCGACGGCAGACGCGACGATTCTAGCCCTTGAGGGCGCGTCGGCGCGCGGGTACGACTCACAAATACAACGACTAAGAGCTGGGCCGCCCGACTTACCACACGATGTCGAGATCTTCTCCTGGTCCAGATCCACCCTTGGTTGTCCTCGTGGTCGACTCTTACCGGCACTCGCACTCTTCACTCTGGCGACGTAGGATCTTACTAGCCGCTCTGTACTCGTCAATCCGACGTAGACATCTCCGAGGAAGTCGCGCTCAACTCGCACACTCGAGCTCCGTTCGTTCTCAAAGCAAATCTTCGACTCCTCCTCCGTTCATATGTACGCTCTCGTATCTCAACGTATACGCGTGTTTACGTTCTATTCTTTCACACTTGATGCTCGCATGAAATCATATTCAAAATGCCATTATTCATAACGCTTCTTATAACTAACTATACACTCGGCAAGTCGACGATGGTTCGTTAGGGCGGCTCAACAAATAATGCCAGTTCCGGCATTACAGAGCTCCCAAGGAGCTACAGCCTTCTCCGCGAAGTAATGCCTAACGGTGGTCCCGCGGGGAAAAACAAAGACAGACGAAGAGGAAGGATTTTAGTCGATATTAGTAGAGAGGCATATTATCCGCCCACACAACACCTGTACACACACAACAGTACACTAGTCGAGTCCGACATATTCATGCCACAAACACCCTTGTCACATGTTGAATCCGTAAATAGGATTTCCCTCCTCCAAAAAAAAACACATACACACACATACATAACAACATTTGTCAGAAATTCTGGCCTCCTTGGCTCAGTGGGTATAGTTCTTGCCTGAGGATACAAGGTGTGCCGTAGGGCGTGGGTTCGATCCCCACTGGGCGAATTTTTGATGGCGTTTTTTCGCCTGGCGTGGTCGAGCCCGTGCCCAAGGTGAAGCGGGTACACGGAAAAACTTTTGACCATGTTTTACGCTCGAATGCTGAAAACGAATCACACTCGAGTTCTACTGAGTTCGTTTCATAACCAGCACTGAGTGCGATTCACGCTCGAGTTCGGCTGAGCTCGTTTCGTCATCAGCGCTGAGCGCGATTGACGCTCGAGGCTGAGCGTAAATCACGCTCGAGTTCGGCTGAGTTTGTTTCAGTGTTGCGGTGAATACGATTTACGCTCAGTCTTGAGCCACTCAGTCACAATTATTGAATAGATTTAACAAAAATGAATAAATATTGAATATAAGAAATTTATATGGGGTGGTGACTCTCGCAACATTCGTCCACAATGTAATACTTGGTCAATTTGACAATGAGTTAAGTATTATAGTCAAGTGAATTACTATGTAATGACTGTCATTTTGGTTTTACAAACTGTTTTTTTAAAATAAATCAATGCAAATATAAAACACAGTATATTAAGCCCCCTTCAGCAGGCTGTAGCGAAAATGAAAAAAAATTTAGATGGAAGTGAAATTTTAACCAATGATAGTTTATTAAATGAAAAGATTATAGATATTATAGGAAATCTTATTCGCTTTCGAATGATATAATTATAAATGGGTGTTTTTAACCATTTTCAAAAGATATTAAGAATCCAACATATTTCCCCTATGTTCTGTCATGCTAACTCTGTGTGCTGCGTTACGTATATAGACACATTAATCTTTCAAATTCATGATTCAGGATTAATTCGCTCGCATCGGCAGAACCCGAGAGCATTTCGTGCTCGGGTCTGAGCATGAACTGTGATCGACTTCGAGCGCGAATATCTTTCCAGATTGAGTTAAGGGTAATATC